AGTGTCCAAGCACATTAATAGAGAGGCGAAGGGAAGGAAAAGATGTGGTCGAAAAAAGTGTACAAGCAAGAGAGATAACCGCACCCTGGAGAGGATTGTGAAACAAAACCCCTTCAAAAATGTGGGGGAGATTCACAAAGAGTGGACTGCAGCTGGAGTGAGTGCTTCAAGAACCACCACACACAGACGTATGAAAGACATGGGTTTCTGCTGTCGCATTCCTTGTGTCAAGCCACTCTTGAACCACAGACAGCGTCAGAAGCGTCTTGCCTGGGCTAAAGAGAAACAGGACTGGACTGCTGGTGAGTGGTCCAAAGTCATGTTCTCTGATGAAAGTAAATTTTGCATTTCCTTTGGAAATCAAGGTCCCAGAGTCTGGAGGAAAAGAAGAGAGGCACTTCATCCACGTTGCTTGAAGTCCAGTGTAAAGTTTCCACAGTCAGTGATGGTTTGGGGTGCCATGTCATCTGCTGGTGTTGGTCCATTGTGTTTTCTGAGGTCCAGGGTCAACGCAGCCACATACCAGGAAGTTTTAGAGCACTTCATGCTTCCTGCAGCTGACCAACTTTTTGGAGATGCAGATTTCATTTTCCAACAGGACTTGGCACCTGCACACAGTGCCAAAGCTACCAGTACCTGGTTGAAGGACCATGGTATCCCTGTTCTTAATTGGCCAGCAAACTCTCCTGACCTTAACCCCATAGAAAATCTATGGGGTATTGTGAAGAAGAAGATGCAATACACCAGACCCAACAATTCAGAAGAGCTAAAAGCCACTATTAGAGCAACCTGGGCTATCATAACACCTGAGCAGTGCCACAGACTGATCGACTCCATGCCACGCCGCATTGCTGCAGTAATACAGGCCAAAGGAGGCCCAACTAAATACTGAGTGCTGTACATGCTCATACTTTTCATGTTCATACTTTTCAGTTGGCCAACATTTCTATAAATCCTTTGTTTTTATTGGTCTTCAGTAATATTCTAATTTTCTGATATGATGAATTTGAGATTTTCATTTGTTGTCATTTGTAATCATCAAAATTAAACAAAATAAACATCTGAAATATATGAGTTTGTATGTAATGTATGAATATAATATACAAGTTTCACTTTTTAAATGGAATTACTGAAATCAATCTACTTTTTCATGATATTCTAATTTTATGACCAGCACCTGTAACTGTACTACCTGCAATGAAACCAGACTGTAGGATATGAGAGAACCGACCCTTTAAGACAGCATGTTGAATTATTTTTAATTCCTTTTGTAAAACACATTTTGGGTCTCATAAAAAAAAAGGGGGAAAAAATGGGCAACACAGAGAGCATCACACCTTGTAGAACTTGTGAAAACAAAACTTGTGTGCCGTCATCAGGAACCAACAGTTTGGTTTTCTGGAGTGGAGCTCTATCAGGAAAACTGGCAGCTCAGGTTTTTTACATTTTCATCCTTTGTTACATGACAATTCACAGTATTACACTGAATTCAATGGCAGAACTAAAAATTACCCAAAAGTCTCACTACGCTTGACTGAAATGTCCACTATGAAAAGCAGAATTGTGCTTTTATAGCAATGTCAATTTTTCTATGTCCTGGTTGGTCGAGGCCTCCAGCACACCGGTGGGAGACATAAATCACTGCTTCCATCCATTGTCCAAGTTCTTTAGCAAAATGGCTCACAAACTCATTTATAGATATCTGTTGTCTCTGCGACAAAGTTCACATACATTTATAAAATATAAACTTGTCTCAATCTCTTGCTGCTTCACAAAAAAGAAACACTTGATTGTTTTTTTTTTATTATTTATCTGAAGAGGACCAGACCCAAAGGTCTCACATTTAAAGCTCAATGAATGAATGTGTGTGAAGAGTTCCCTTCCAAAGTGAGGTATTAGAAAATTTACGAGCAGCGTCGGCTACTCAAACATTTTGAATTCAAAAACAAAATAGGCTACAATTCTTCACATTTAACCTAACTGGGACTAGTAGGTTTTTCCCTAAAATGAAAACACAAGATAATTGAGCATCAATTTAAAATAAAATAGAGAAAGCAAATCGTTATGCATTTAAACTCAAACAAATGTTTAACACTAAAACCCCAAAATATCCAAACAAATAATGAAAAATAAAAAAAAGGACTCAGCAGTGAGTAGTACCGATCATTGCACTGATCGATTTCTCTAATTTTGCATGCCTAGTAGGCTTGCTATAGGCAGAGGAGAAAATCCCTCCATGTATATCCTTACAAAGGGCTACCATAATGGTCTGGAACTGATTTTTGTAAATCCCCAAATGGTTTTAATCGGATTAAGATCAGGGGAACAAGCAGGATTGTCCAAGACAGGCATTAATTCTCCTGCAGAAAGTACTTTGTTAGATCCCAGCAATGGCACTGCAGCTATCTGTGAATTAAAATAGAATATCAATAAAGATTTGCAAAGCCAGCTGTTTGGCCAAAAAGAGGGTTGAGAAACTGTCGTCTTCTGTTGGATCCTCATGCTCAGCACACATCACTTTTGTCTGTATGTCCTTACTTTCTACAAAGAAATGTAAATGTCTTCCTGTTCCAGCCTCAGCAATGAAGGCAGTATCCAAGAGTTCCTACCTGTTCAACTAAGCAATCCTGGGACCGTTCTTACCTCTGCTGTCAGGGAATCATGATCATATATGAATGTCTGGCAGAAAATGATGTGCAGCAAGATAGAATTTTTTTTACAGCTGTAGTTTTAAACATTTTAAACACAACCTGCTTGAGTTTAAATGCAGTCTTAAGTGATTTGCCTTCTCTGTTTATTTTGTTTATTGTTGTTTCTTTCAGTGTTTTAAAACCTTTACTTTCAACCCCATTTTAGTGTGGTTTTCTCCAAATTATTAAAGAAGTCATCACCCGAAATCATGACTTTTTCCTGATAAAACGCAAGTCAGTGTTGGGCCTCAGTTAAAACATGCCAGACAATCTGTAGTGTGAAAGTGGTAAGGTTTTTTTTTGTACTTCTCTACAGAACATGCCTTTGGTCATCCTTCTTAATTAACGTCATTTGTAGTAGAGATTACCAACATTAGTCGACCTTTCTAAGGTGCTGCTGCTCGTGTAACGTCTTACCTATTGTGTAGAAGACAGGAATCCCAAGCTTTCTTTGTCTAAGTTGTTGTGTATGGAGTCAGAATACTGCCAAAAGTGCACATGTGGAAAAAACACCAATATAGGCAGTTTATTAAAAACATGTGCATGTAAACTTCTCTCCATGTGCATTTTTAACATGCTATGCAGGCAGATTCAAAAATCATGAGCCCCCTATTATATCACAAACATGAGTTCATGCTCCTTCTCTGTGCCTTCTCTACTACTCATGTAACTTTTGCTACTTTGAAGGTGAAACCAACCTGAGAAAGTAAACTACTACTTTCTTCTTAAAACAGAACTGTTTTCTTCCAAACTGCAGATAGTAATGTTGGTAAAACGAATAGCTGTTCTCATCAAGAGGTAAATTCGAACTTTCTTTCATACAGCCACATATGTCATCATTTTATGATTTTGTTAACACAACACCGCTGCAAACTAATTAGAAATGCAAATGTTTGTGTTCAGCTATAAATATTTTTTTAATTCAAGCCTCAATATAAACAGTAAACTTGACATTATCTGAACTTAACAGGTTAGCTCATGCAAGGTTCCAAAGCATTACTCATTTAGAGTATTTTGTTACTGCAACACATTTATGACTTTTTTAAATTAAGTTATTTAATGATGAATTCATTTAACACATTTTGACCCCTTTAATAGCACAGTAATTAGCCTGAAGTTGCCTTACTAGCTGTAACTAGGAAAAAACAGCAGAGGTGAGATTTCCTGAAATGCTGTTGATCACAGACAGTTTACTTTCTTAAGTTATTTTAACTCTTTAACATGAAAAGACTTTGACATAAGGGTACAGAAACAGGTCCACACTTGAATAGTAGAGAATCTACAGGTACATAATAAAATAAGAGAGAGCAAAGAATGAGGAGGAACTAACGATTGTGATCTATTGGGAGTCTTATTGAACTTGCATGCCTAATGCCTTCAAAATGGTTATGGAGAGTAGTTTTAGATAAAACATCTCATTTGAGTAATCATAAGGTCTCTGGATTTTTGGCAGAATTCTGGCTTTGTTGTGTCCTTGGTCAAGACACTTCACCCATTTTGCCTACTGATGATGGTCAGCGGGCCCAGTGGCGCCTACAGCAACCTCTCTTCTGTCAGTGAATCCCACAGCATTCTTTGCTGTAATACAGCCTGTCTCCATCAGTGTGGAAGTGCAGGTGAATGACTGAATGTGGTGTAAAGAATTTTTGAGTCCCCTGACCTTAAAAAAGGCGCTTTATAAGTACAGGCCATTTACAATGGCATACTTTTATTGTTGGTGATTCTACTTTTCTGTGTAATAAATACAGAAAACATGAATGTACATACACACAAATCACATTTTCATGGTTTCTTTAAAAAACAAAATCCTATGAATTGTTAAACATGATTTTAAGGAACTGTTCAGGATTTTATATATAAACTACAAGGTTATCACTCCTTTAAGACGTCCCAAAAGATCCCTTTAATTATTCTGCCCTAAAAAAAAAGTTAAAGAACAAAAGGGGTTGTTGAGCCTTGAATTGTTGATATAAAACTAAAAAATTTCAAAGTTAATACAATTTTACATAGCCTTTTTAATGATTTTTGGAAATGAACTCTTCAACCTTCAAATCAAAAACACGACCACTGACAGCCAAAGAATCTCACTGTGGTTTAACATGTGCTTCTATCAAACATTTCTGTTTAAAACAAAATATGTGCCATCAAAGATAAAGAGCGAAGCAAAACAGGCGGCTTTCTGCATGTGGACAAACACACACTTTCCACCTTAAATCTTGTGTAAGATGTCGTCTCAGAGAAGAATCTTTACATTTAATGTTTTTTTTCTACATCAAGGAATGTTCGAGAACAAAGAAAATTATTTATATATATATATATATATATATATTTGTAATGTTTTCAGTCACTGCTTTCTCAGTGTCTCTTCACTTTACACTTTCTGAACTTGTTGGCCTTTTTCTCTGTAGATATGCAGCTGAGAGAAGTCTGTGTGTTTCTTCTGTAAAAGTTGGGCTGGTGTGCAGCAGGGAATGATGTGTGGAACCTCTTTTTTTCCCCCTGTGCGGTGCCTTGGTGGCACCCTCTCCTTAGGTTCTGTCCGCAGAGTATCCTTCACAACATATCTACTCTGAGCCATTAAAAAAGAGATTAGGTGGGGTTCTGTGTATGGTAGGGAGAAGGGAATGGGGCAGGACAGAGCTGGCTCTTCCCTCTCACCCTCATCGGACACATGGGAATTGCAGTTTCTCTCTCACACCCAAATCATCCTCCCTGTCGGTTCTGCGCAGCTCGGTCCATAAAGGCCATTAAAGGGATGCCTCCTATGGTTGGCAGAGCAGCACCAGCATCAGCCAGCCCAGGATGAGCAGCATGGAGAGCCGGACTTGCTCTGGGCTATGATCCAAAAGCCTTGGAGAGGGTAGAGTGGAGTCTCCTTCGTCGCCCCACAGTCTGTCATTCCCACTAACCTGAAAGAAAGAGTATAGATATTTTCAGTGTCGCAAGTTTGGGTTAAATGTGTTTCTAAATTGCACAACATTATCATTTTACAAACAAATGCTTTGATGTATTTTGTTTGGATTTTAATGACACAGTTTACCAAAAAGAAAGGTTTTGACAAATCAAACATACATCATAAGTTACTTCCTCCTGTAACATACCAAAGTGAATTCACTCAGAGTATCATGCAGATCTGCCTATACAATATATCCTTTCTGATCACTGCAATCACCATCATGAACATTTTAATAAAAACCTGAGGGAATTTGATTAGGTAGCTTTTACCTGAATTAAATCAAATTAAATACCATGCAACAGTTGGAAGTAGAAACCTAGAAATGTCAAAGTTTGTGAAGAAGTGATATTTTTCATACAGCACTGTATTTGTTTTTATGCTGTGTGTTTAAAAGGATTGGTGATGTCTAAATTTTTACATCCTAATGTTGTCCCTTCCCTTAGCACAACAAACATGAAAAGCCAATCCTGGGATGAGGATTTTACGTTATTATTGCTGTTTTCATTTTCATTTAAAAAAATTCAATGGATCTAACAAGTACGATAAAAAGAAGTATTTTTTTTTTGCTTTAATTTTTCTCAATATGCTGCAATTACTGTCTTCTTCTCCAAGCTGACCTTTGTAATATCTACCCTGGAAATGTTGAAGAATATCTATTAAACATCATCAAAACCAACCCCTATTATACATCCTGGCATTTGGGCATTTTAGTGAGTACAGTCTGGGTGGTCTGAACCAGATGTGTCAAAGTAAAGGAAAAGAACGCAACCTTTGGACAGTGAAAAAAAAAAATCTGGTCTGAAATGATATTTATGAAAAGACAAAACCTTCCTGTTAATTTATTTTCAACCTAATTGCAAGGTAGCTATTCCCCATGTGGTTCTTTCAGCTGTTTACGTTTGGCAGGAGTTGATTTCCAGATTCTTGCAATAGATGGTTTGATAGATATAATTCAAGGTTAGGCTTTGATTTTCACCCTGTCTCTTTCTGGTTCTGCCTTCCAGCTGGGGCTTCTCCCCTTCAGTTTAATCTGCAGTCTTGTTTTAGGCTTTTAAGCTACTCTTTGGTGGTTCGTCATAGCAATCAACCATGAATATTTATTACAGAATAAGCTTGTGGAGCTGCACAGCTGTAAGGTGTGTTACGCATTGGTGCAATAAAAATAAACTGAATGGAATGTAATAGAATGAAAGCAATGCAACCTCTGGAGATTTCTCTGCAGAAAATGCAGCATTTAAACACAAACACTATAAATCAAGCTCAGCAAACCTCTCCCAGTGAAACATAGTGGTGCTAGCATCAACTGCTCTCACTATCCTTTCATCAGAGTTGATGAGTTCGGTCAAAGCTCAAAGCCACATGCATCCGAGTTGATGGGAGGATGGCTATCGCTAAATTCGAATAAAATGTGAAAAAGACCTTAAAGAGGCTGCAAAAGATTAACAACTGCAGCAAAACGAGAATGGCTCTATGTATACAACCAAAATATAACCCACAAACAATGTTTTTCTGCATATGTAGTCCATATCTGACTTTGACGCCACTACTATGTTTTTGTTCAAACAAAGCTTTATTGAACATATTAAATGAGAATCACATTCATTATCTTTTCTTTACGGAGCACAGCTGTGTGAGGTCTTAATTCTTCTTCTGCACGTGTGGATTGCTAATGTCTGATAGAAGCCGCTATTCATTAGTGATATCAGACATCAGATTAGAGCAAATAATGGACCATCACCAGCACCAGAGTGCTTTGTGGGTGTAGGCTTAGACTTTTCCTAAATACAAGTAGCAATTTGGTCAAGGAGGGATTAAATTGGCGTGAAGTTGTCTAGGCCAAAAAAGAAGATCTGCATCATTACATATAGCTCAAACTTGCAAAACCATTATGTGCTTGCCATTTCTACTGTACCAGAAACCAAACTTGCTGTCAAAGATTTGGTAGAATAATTGATAATTTTACTGTTTGTCCTGCCTGGGTGACATCATCTCTCATTTAGTGGACAAGCTTGAAGTTAGCTTCAGTTACAGAGGCCTGAGTAAATTGTTCATGCAGCTTTTAATGAATCTGGAACAACTTTAATCGACTCAGAAACAAAAATGTGCTTTAAGATTTTGAAACTGAGCTGAATTCCAAAACACAAAGACTCTTTTAAAAGCAGTAAAAAAAAAATTATTCTGTTTGTAAAAAACATCAACAACAGATGCTTTAACTGTTATGAAATTGACATTTAGATACAGTTCACTGGTTTGAAAAAAGTTTTAGTTTTTAATTAACTGCCTTTAGTAAAAAACTATTTTGCCCAGTCTAAATATTACAGATCAGCAGCAGATCAAACATACTAGAAGCAGTGATGTGGCCCTTTAATTTAGGCTGTGAGTGCTAACTTTATAGCTCTATATCAGTCTCAAAAAGAGAGAGTAATAAAATCGTAATGCAAAGTTGTTTGATGAAACAGTTGAAAAGAATGAGCAGATTCTTATATTCCTTTGAACTTACATAATGTTTAAGCCTGTGATTAGTTTAAGAACACCTTTTATATCTCACTACAGAAAAACAAAAATACAGAGGAGGCACATCCAACTTTGCATTCAATTCAAATGCAAATCAGTGACCCATCAGATCTTGGCGGAGAGGAAAGATATGTTAAAGGTGGTGAAGGAAGCCATCTCTGATAAAAGAGAAATGTCAACACTAACCAGAGGGAGAGGATTCTTTATGCTTACCTTCTAAGCAGAAATATATTTTTGTCATATTTGTAATCAGTCCTATTGATCCGCTTTTTAAGTTTTCTAAAAAAAAAGTGTTTTAAAGATTTCCTTTTAAGTATTTTTAGTTTGCATCTGCAGTAAATTAGGGGATCTGGAAGCCATGCCTAAAAAAAAAAAGAAAAGAAAAAAAAAAGAAAAAAGGATAACCCCAGATATCCTTTAGCTGTCCATCTGCTTCTTTTAACATAAAGCTCTTTGGATCTAAAGTGTCAGGTTCTGTTTGTGAAGCTGTCATATTTGACATTTTTCGAGAAAATGGTTATTAATCAGCACTGACATAATGTAAGTAAATTTCTTTCAAGCCTTTTCCGCCTTCATGCCACAGCTAAAAAGATGTTCAGATAAGAGTCAGATAATAGAACAAAAGTCAGGAAAAGGTCACCTTAAGTCTACTTTGAAAAATCCTGTGAAACCTGAAGAACAATTTATAAAGAAAACTTTGAAATAAAGTTTGTCTTAAATTTATATTATAGGCAGAATATAATAACTGAATTCTACAGGTAATGTTACAGATTATAGTTGGATAGTTGTAGATATGTATTTTTTTGTATTGTACAAGAAAGAAAATTGAACTAATTAATTTAATGCCCTGAGGTAATGAGACGTGTTGTAAATTAACACTGTATGTATCAAACTGATTAGATTTTTTATGATAGGAGTGAACAAAATATGAAACCTCTTGCTATACACCACAGTTATTCATCACTTCATTAACTACAGACTTCCTTTTCTTTCAGGAAAGTATAAAGACAACAATATTCAGGCTAAATCCTGCTGCCATTAGATTGCCTTCATTTTCTTATTTGTATGTTGTTTGTTCAACAATCTGCTCAGTAGATCATTCCAGTTGAGATCTAACTGATATTGGGTCGATTATCAGTGAAGCCGATGGCTCTGGACTGGCTAAAAATGGTGGAAACAGAAAAAGATATTATTCAGAGTCTTGGGAAAAAAAAAAAAATAGACACAGCGTCTGAGCTGTTTTACATTCTGCACCTTCCATCTGTTTGCTTGTGGCAGAATAAAAAGAAATACCTGATATCTTATTCTTTGTTACTCTTACATAAAGGCCACATTTGTAAATATATCATTTATAATTTATATGATTTAGTGTAAAGAAATTCCAGGTGGATGTATTACTCACTAATTATTTGACTTCTGAATGTAATTAGTTGCTAAGTGAGTCTCACACTGGTCATTGAGTCTTACATGTTTTAATTTAAGCGTTTCACTTATTTTTCTCTATAAATTTCCTCCGCCTTTATCACCCACTTCGTTAAAACAAATACTCCATGTTTAGCTGCTGTGGGACCCAGATCACAGCGGGGTCATCTCTCCACCTGTGGCTCAGTTTTTAGAAAAGCTTGCACATCACGTTTCCATTCTTCCATCTCGTCTCACCTGAGTAGGTATTTGTGCCCGCAGAACGTTCTGCTCTGTTTCCATGGAGATACTCGGGGCGGTGGTTGCCAAGTGTGGACTCTCGTTGTCTGTCGCTGGACTTGTCACCCCAGGCTGACTGGCGCCTGTTTTTACATCTGATCCGTTCCCGAATGCTACGATGGCGTTTTCTGCAACACACCAGCAGCAGAAATAAAGATTTAAAAGCACATAATGATTCTGCTCCTTAGGAGATAAAAAATCTGATTATTACAGGTCATAGATATTTTGACGAGTTCTGACTACGAATCATATGACGCAGGACCTGTAAAATAAACACAAACAGCATCTAGCCATCATGCTGCCGCTAAAGGTCAGGGCTCACTGTATCATCCAGGTGCCTGAAAATAAATTAAACAATCTTAGTGAAGTTCATCATTTCATTGATTCTAATAAAATATTGTTCAGATTCATTACACACAAAGTCAAATTGTGTAGTTAACCTGTCTACACAAGGGTATACTGATGGTTAGAGCTAATGGCTGATTATAACTCAAATTTAGCACTGGCTAAGACCAAAACAGGATGTTAAGGCAGATATGTTATGGCAATGTTATGTTCAATTCAATCCTTTGGATGACATCCAGCACGGACTGAGATCCTCCAATTTTATTCACTTCAGGCTATTCATACGCATGTAGCTCCAGTTCACAACAAATGTCACCTCAAGGTACTTTACAGACACAATAGTCAGATCATACAGTCAAAGTTTTCTGTGCAAGGAAATTCAGCTGAAAGCATCTACAATCTATTGACTCTACAGCAATCGCTCACACCCAGCATGCATGGAGCAAAAGTGGAGAGGAAAACTCCCTTTTAACAGGAAGAACCCTCCAGCAGAACCAGACTTAGTGTGAGTGGCATCCTGCCAAGGCTGACTGGGGTTTGAGGAGACAGAAGCAGACACACAAAACAAACAGAAGGACTGATCTATAAATACTTTAAATGTTAGAAAAGGTGACAGTAAATTAGCTCTACAGGTAGCTCTGTCTGAGAAAGAGAGAATTGAGCAGACAAGCTCAGAGCCAGTTTTCATATCACAGGGATGAATGGGAGCACATACAGTTAGTCAGAGTAAAGGTTGAGCCCATGCATATGTCTAGAAGAGAAACAAAACCAAGCACTGAAAAAGAGGCCCAACTCTATCATCTACTGTATAATCTAAAGTGTTGATGGCAGCAGCCCAGCTAATATTTCTCTCCAGGATGATGTCACAGTCAAACAAAACACACCCAAAGCCTGTACTTCTTATAGATCCATCCCTCTTCTCAAATTCGATGCTAAGATTGTCTTAAGACTAATAGCAACTTACCTTAAAACCTGAAATATTCACTTATTGTATAATATTTGCAAATTTTTAAGGTAATCTACTTTTATCACTTCTCCCTTGACATGGAGAAGGACTGGGTTGGGTGGATTTATCTTGTAAGAGTATAAAAAAATATATGTATTTAGAAAAGAAAATGTATTTCTTGGATTCAGCTTGTATACGATTTCCTCTCCAAAAGCGAAGGTTATGACAAATAACAATCATTATAGTTATTTTACACTAGCTTTGGACCAGACCTTTCCAAACTCAATTTGTTAAACTTTAGAAGCATTCTTAATTTCATAAAAATATCTTCCTTTGTTGCAAAAGATTTCTTTTTCGGGTCATTAAAAAAAAACTATCAATGTATGCTGACGACGTTTTCTTGTGTGTCCAAGTTTTGACTCAGTTCTGTCTATTTTCAAAAAATATGGCATTTGCTCCTTTTCTGCTTATAAATCCTGTCTCCTTAAGAGTGAATGTTTTAATATTAACTCTTAAGCTCTGTCACGTATATACACATACTTCTTAATAGTCCTACATTTCTGTATTATGAATCCTTTGTTTTAGTCCTGAGTTCTATTTCACTAGAACATTTATTAAGTTTACCTTAAATGCAAATCATAACCATCTAACTCTACAACAAAAATCACGATGGATGTATCACATCTTAATAACGGGGGTTTTGCCTTTTAAATAGAAGTACTGAATTAGATTTTATTTTTAATAATAATCTAAACATCCATTTCAAACAAGAGAAACATACAAGGACAAATCAATCTATTCAGTGTGGAACATAGCATCTTCAGTCTTTTCTGCTCACAGGATGTAAAAAAGAAAAAAAATGTCTGGAGCTGAATTGAAAGCAAAACCCTGAGCATAAATACGTCAGATGTCCTACATGTATACATATAATTTATCTCTCTCAGGATATCTGGTGTAAGGAAATGGCTAAAAATGGGAAACATTCTGTGTAGTATTTACGCCAGGGGAATAGACTCCAATATGTCTTTCCTGAGGCAAAAATACTGCAGTCCACAATCCTTTACAAAACTTTCTGCCAATGCACACGACAAATGTGCTTCTGAGCAAAAATGTACAACGTTTTATGCTCGATTTTGCAGATGACAGCCTTAGTTTTTGATATATATATATATATATATATATATATATATATATATATATATATATATATATATATATATATATATATATATATATATATATATATATATATATATAATTCCAGCCTATGCAGTTTTAAATAGGATTTTTTAAATAAAAAAAAAACCTGGTCAAACAATGAATAACTCATCTGCTGTCAGTAGGTTTGCTGGCTCACCTAAATAGCTGCGGGGCAGTATTAAAAGACAGAGGCAAGAAATTTTCCAAACACAGTAAACTTGACTTTTTTTAACCTTCCTGCTGATTTTTAAACGTTAAGTCGGCATCTAAAATCTCCCTCCCAGCAGTTTGCTGCTGTCAGTTGTGAAAATATCCACAAATGTGGGTTTTAAAAAGGCAAAGAGCGAGTGTTTACTGGGAACTACTTCTGAAATGTCTGTGGGGGGAACAACAATGGGATGAAGGGGAGCTCTTTTAAAGGTGCCGTAAACCTCCAGTGAAAAGCGGCACAATATGAATTATTCTACAGGAGTTGAATAAAATAAGAAAGATAAGAGAAAGAGAAATAAAAGTGTTTGAATGACAAGGTGAGAGTGTGATCCTTTCTGTATGACATCATATTGGGTATTCAGAGACGCTCATGCAATTTTTATTGGACATTTCACAATAAACAAGAGCACCTCATCAGTTCCACTCTCTGGAAAAAAGGAATATGCTAGTCATAGGTAAAGGGGTGCAGAGTCATCTTTTATTAAAACATCCTGGATTATTCAGTGAAGAAAGACCTATAAGGTTACCTTTAGCTGAATAAGTCCAGATACAAAATAATCCAAATAATTAATGCCATATTGAATAAAACCATAGTTTCTACTTTTACGCCAGTAATAGCCATATATTATCGCTCCTGTTTGGCTCCGTCCATCTTCAGTAACTTCACTGAGTAACAAACAAACTTGTTTTTTTTTGCTGTTTTTCAAAAGTTATTCCAAAAAAAAAAGACACACAGGTAATGTTTATGTTAAAATTAGCATGACATTTTACTATGACATTTGGAGGTCAGACTAACTTACTGTAAGGAGTAAATTTCGGCTCTGCTTTAATATGTTTTATGTTAAAAAGAAAATTAGTTTAGAAAACTGTTCCTGGAATAGTCAATTTGACATTATTTCCTTTGATTGTTTTATTATAGTCTTCAAAATACAAACATTTGTACATAATTGCATTCTGGTCTGCCTAAATCACAAAAAATTTAACATCTGATGTTATAATGAGTAATTTCTTGGACGGCTACGTTTTAGTTTTAATAAAAAATAAGATGAAGTATTGCTGCTCTTACTGGAGTACAATTTTTGAATACTATACCCACTTCTGCTTATTGTGTTTACATTTATGAGGAAAGAGATTCATGTAATACTTTTGGAATTAAAGCTGCACTGCAAAAGGTGATCCTAAAACAAGTAAAATGTGTTTATTTGCCTTTGATTTGAGCAGGTAAATAAAATGATTTGCAAATACAATGGGAAGATAGATAGACATTCTGTACTTGAAATAAGATATTAGGGATTTTTTTATTATTCTAAACTTAAGTTATCTAATTGAGTTGGCTAATTTTCTGACTTTCATACTCTGATATAACGAAAATACTTTACTGTACTACTAATTTTTTGTAGTGTGTAACATTACGAAACATGGAAAAGAATGTATTACTTTAAGGACTTTGCAGATGTATTGTAGGAACAGATTAAAAAACAAATAAAAATACTTACATGAGGTATGGGACACAAAAAAATCCCATTAAAAGCCATAAATTTAAAAAACATTGATGTTGACTTTGAGATTATAGTCGCTACAACTTTTTGCAGGGTGTGAATCCTTTACTTTTATAATCACCATAGCATTACATAACAATAAAATAATGCTGACAGTAAAACTCTGTGGTAGCGATAATCCAATTCAACTGATGGAACCATGAATTCTGCTCTCTAAAAGAAAACCCTGATAGAGAATATCTGGCCATCAGTTAGTGGCCTTAAGCTCCAACTCCCCTGGGATATGCTGAAAAGCCTCATAAAAAAGGACAAAATGAATGTTTTGGAATGGTCTAATCTGATGGAGAGGCTGTGACTTTGAATGCCCTGTGTGGCTGAATGAAAACAATTATACAAAGAAGAGGGATTCAAATTCATGCACAGCCATGTAGAAGATCTGATAGCTCTTGATGGTGGCTGTTATTGCAGAGAATGATTCAACTAGCTATTAGGTTTAAGGGAGGATTACTTGTTAAATGGGAGTAGAAAAGCTCAAATAGCATTTTATGTACAATAAATTAAAACATCATTTAATAACCGAAGACTGTATATGAATGGATTATATTTTATGTAATATATTAATGTGTGAGAATAAAGCAAAACAAGAAATCTGTAAGGGGGGATACATTTTTCACAGCACTGGGGCAGACATCTACTTAGATAGATGCATTAATATAGTTTGCTGTGGTCAGAACCTAACGACATTAACTGACATATTTGAAAAAACAATTAAACACACTAAAAAGGTTTCAAATGAACTCTAATTTTAAATCAGACTAAATTCTTATTAATTTTTGGAGCTCAGGATACATGGCCAAAAAATAAAATATTGAATTATATTGAAATACAAGTATTCAGATTGAATTAATTTGAATAATTATACAAAATA